TGAAAGGACTTTACTTGAGACCTTAAGCATGCACAATCTATGAGACTACAGGTTTTAACTCTGTGACATTTAACATCTCTTGTTGAAAATGAATAACAAAGTGCATGGTCATTTGCTAAATTCTTACTTCACGTTAAAAAAAAAGCTTGTGAGCATTTCAATGACATCTGCATGCTAACAAATTGTATGATAAAAATCCATTTAATTTCATGAAAATGCTTCTAGAAGGAAGCCATTATATTTACCATGATGCGGGGCTCCCTAGGCGGCTGAACCGGTTGGATCAGCTGAACCTGCTCAACCAAGAGAGGAGCAGGGTTCTGTACAACATTAGGATATTGGGATCCTGAAATGGAAATCTTCACATCGCTGCACTCTTTTATATTCACGTGTCTTTGGATGAGTTTCAATAATTTTGACAAAGGTTTTTATTGTTGTGTGCTAATTTCTTTTCTGAAAGGACTTTACTTGAGACCTTAAGCATGCACAATCTATGAGACTACAGGTTTTAACTCTGTGACATTTAACATCTCTTGTTGAAAATGAATAACAAAGTGCATGGTCATTTGCTAAATTCTTACTTCACGTTAAAAAAAAAGCTTGTGAGCATTTCAACGACATCTGCATGCTAACAAATTGTATGATAAAAATCCATTTAATTTCATGAAAATGCTTCTAGAAGGAAGCCATTATATTTACCATGATGCGGGGCTCCCTAGGCGGCTGAACCGGTTGGATCAGCTGAACCTGCTCAACCAAGAGAGGAGCAGGGTCGGCCGATTGAGGATTTTAGGCTAGGGTTGCTGCCCAATGGGAGGGGTCTACCTCTCCTAGTTATCTACTATAGATATGTTATGTTTTTGTTATTAAGGTTCAATTTTTGGGAGATTTCTGTTTAGACAGTCGTTCGCATCCCATTTTTCCTTCTAGGGCTGCATTCAAGGACAGGTAGTGCTTCAGTTGTATCCCGCTCCAATGTGTTGATTATCCTCGCATATCTCCTTCACCCTTACCTTCGATGATAACGGAAAGTCGAAGAGGCGAAAGAGACGAGAATTTCAACCCTTTCTACAGGGAACATTCCAGTGATGAAAAAAAAAGCCACGACGCTTTGGAATCCAGTAACGGAGACTGAGAAAAGAGGCCACCTATGGAAGACAAAAGGATTTCAGAATAAAGGTGGATCTACTAGAGTTCAAAGAGGTATGGATCCAAACGACTTTATCGAATGGGTACAATTAGTTTATTGGATCTTGTTAGTATAAAGAGTTGTTAGAAGATAAAAGAGTGAAGCTTGCAGCTATCAAATTGAGAAAGAGGGTCTTTTTGTGGTGGGACAACTAGAACAGAGGAAGAGAGAAGAAAATAACAAGATTGCCAAATAGGAGAAGATGCGGAAGGCGTTTCAGACAAAATATCTACCTTCTCACTACTGCCAGGATATATTTCTAAGATCCCAACACTTGCAACAAAGAGAACTATCAGTGGAGGAGTTCATGACGCAATTTGGCCAGTTGTAGATGAAGTGTAATTTAGTCGAGACAAAGGAATACACCATAGCATGTTATATGGGTGGCCTGAAGCCCGCTATTAGCAATGTGGTGTAGCTGAAATCTCATTGGTCATTTGGAGATGTCCAAACTTTAGTATTGAAAGTGGAAAAACCAAAAAATAGAGTAGCAACCACCACCAGTCAAGGCAATCACCCACAGTGAGAAGAAGCCTAAGAAGAGTAGCACGTCTACTGCAGTCCTCTCCAAAAAAATGCTTCAAATGCCATGGATTTGGGCACATCACCACCAGCTGCCCGACAAATCGAGTTGTGATTTACTGATAGGTTGTCGTGGAGGTTGTTAGCAACAAGGAGGCAGAAGAGGAAAATGGTGAGGTGTATCATTTTCCACTGGATGAAGGAGAGACGCTCGTGGTTCGACAAATCTTATAGATCAAGGATACAATAGATTCGTAACGGCTTCGTCACTATATATTCTACACCCGTTGTAGTGTAAATGAGAAGGCACGTAGTTTCATCATTGACAGAGAATGTGTTGTCAACACAAATGGTGGAGAAGTAGAGTCTCATGAATTAGAAGCACTTCTAGTTGTATTCTCTACGTGTCCAAAGAAGGAGAACATGGTCAGCATTGACAGGAGGCGCATAGTGGAATTTTCGATTGAGAGCCAACTATAGGATTAGGTGTGGTGTGATGTTGTACTCATGGATGCCTGCAAGATGTTGTTAGGGAGACTGTGACAATTTGACCATAAGACTCAACATGATGGATTCAAAAAGACCTACTCCTTCACTAATGATGGGAAGCTCATCGTCCTCGAGCACGAGATCACAAGCGCCGTTGCCAACAAAGCAACATCGGTGGGACAAATTTTGGTGATGATAGACGATGATAGGACTGGGACATAGACTACAAACATGGGAAAGTCACGACAGAGAGCTTCTCAGGATATCATGATCGATACCTTATAACCATGGATACCCCAGGTCAGGGGGGAGGGAGGTTCAAGCTACCCTTACTTCAGATCAAGTTGAGTAGACCGTGGATTACTTTGAGAGGATTCAATAGTATATGCGAGACACGCCGACTCAGTTCAGTTCAGTAGTGAACTCCCAGGAGAGCAGATCGATATGGATGTATTTTTGCAATTGAATGACAATCCTTAGGTGTTTTGGGGGATGGTACAGTCGCCAACGGGCTTGAGTGCTTTGCAAACTGTAGTTGTAGAGCCTTCAGCCCCGGGAGTTTATAATAACTCTATCACAGGCAAAGAGCAGACATATGCTTCGACGATTGAGGTTGAAGCTCCCACAATCCTGGTAGAATGACGTGGGGCTCCCTAGCTAGCTGAACCGGTTAGTCCAGGTTTATGGGCTAGGTCTACGGTTGCATCCCAAAGGGAGGGGCCTCCCCCTCTTAGTTATCTACTATGTATATGTTATGTTTTTTGTCATTAGGGTTCAGTTTTTATGAGTTTTCTGTTTGGACAGTCGTCGGCGTCTCCATTTCTCTTCTAGGACTGTATCCAAGAACAGATGGTGCTCTAGCTGTATCCTGCTCTAAGGTGGTGATTATCCTCACCTACATTCTCCACCCTTACCTTCTTGATGTTGTCGCCACCCCCCCGCTGCCCCCCCTCCAGCTGGGCTCCCAGCCATAACCCATCTCCCAGCCTCCCTTCCTGCTGCAACCCATTTACCAGCCACCTTTCCATGTGATAAGCCCTTAGTCATTTCGTCCCCTGCCGTAACCTTCCTTACCTGCTTTTAAGTCTCATTGTAGCAAGTCTCCCAACCATCAACCTCAGCCTTCCTGTAGCTATCCAGTGCCCACTCACTTCCAGCTACCTATTAGACTCATTTCCCCATGCACCTGCCTACTATCCTTCCACCACAAAGCCATTCATAAACCCCACTTATTTTCTAGCCGCAACATCGCCTCTTCGACTTATGCCCTAGCTTGTGTTTGTATGATCGTTTTCTTATTTTAGGTGTTGTTGTTTATAATACCCTTCAAATTTCAGCAATAATATTTATTTTATTATTGTGATTTGGGTTAACTTCGGTATCATACCATAATTTATGCTTCTCTTATTGTTGTGAATAGTAGTTGGTATTTCACAGCATCACCAATAATAAGGAGATAAGTTGTTGACTTGAACTGGGCACTATGATCAATTGGATCTGTTTTTCTTGTATAAGCTTTGGGGGATGACATTTTGAACTTTGGTGGAGTTTGGGTTTCTTCTCTTTAATTGGAAATCACACTAGATGGCTGAGGCCAACATTTTTTCGATACTACGATTCAAAGATATTGCAACACCTCTCTTTAGGGAGGGATGTTTATCAATTGCTGGATTTGATGCAGGTTATGTGAAAATCAAATCTACCTTTAGAAGGAATCTTAACATGTAAGCTGCTTTTGAAAGCTATTCAAGGATTTTGTGGATGATTCTTGTCTAACACTTTTCCAACTTACTTAGATGTTCAGTGGTAAAGAAGTTCTGCTAATTTTTTAGGGAAGACTATTATTTTTTTTCTCAGGGTACTCCATTGCTTGATTTGTTTTCTTAGACATCTTTCATGTTTACTTCACCTAAAAGGATTTTGGTGACAAATATTCTATGAGGGATACCATAACCTTAGTATGGACTATGCTCAAGAGAAAAATAGAAGAGATAGAAAAGAGAACTTGCTAGAAATAAACTGCATTAGAAAGAAACAAACTAATACTAGGATATTACTAAATGTGCTGAGACTCATCCTTTGACCGTCTATTTATAGGTTTAGGTTGAGATAAATGCTGCAGGAATTATTAAATATAATTACTGCAGGTGGAGTTTCTTTGCGGGCAAATTTTGCCAAATGAATTAAATGCTTCTTCTGTTTACTTCGACCAGGTTTTTCACTTCATCTCCATATTTGGTTGTTGTTTTCTAACAAAAAAAATATCCGTATTTGGTTGTTGTTTTCTCAAGAAAATAATGTCAGGAGAAGCCTGCAACAGACATGAAAACAATAAACAAGCAATGAAATGCAAGGAAACCAGAAAGTTTAAATAAATTGGTTTTTTATGACGATGATACTTTTTCTTAATGTTTTAGGAGTATCATCTCATCACTCTATTTGACTTTGATAAATTTTTCGTGATGGGTATGAAGTTGAATATTGTTTCTGCAAGCCACATTGTTCTTTGATTTAAATTATTGGATCAGAAAAAGGGAGGCAGGTTGTTCTTCTAAGTTAAGAATTCTTAATTCTATGGTCTTTGTTTATCTTGTCATTCGTTGATATGGTCTAATAATAGTTTAACTTCACATATGTAATCCTTTGGATCATTTTCATGCACGACTTGTCATAAGATGATAATATTTATATAATATCTTTGTATAAAGTATGTTTCTTTGACTAATTCTACAATGCTGAGGTTGCTGAATCATGTTTGTTTCATCTGGTCGGTTCTAAAGCTCTGAAGTTTCATGTACAGGGAGAGAAGTATGCTATTGTAACTGATAGGTGGCAGAAGTTCAGTAATTTGACTATGGACGAAGAGAACTTAGCGTTCCTAGCAGCCTATGCTGATGAATTTCTTGTTCATGGAGTAGATGTGGAAGGAAAAAGGTATTCAATCCTTCTATCATTCTTTACTAATTTTATGATACATGAATGCTTATTTTTTCATGGATACTGGTCTTGTGTGAAACAGGGTTATTATTTTATTTTTTCGTAGGATTATTTGGGCTTATTTTTGGAATGATGTATTGCCTAGCTAGAAAATCAAGATTTTCCATCCACATTTACTTCGTAAGTAATATAACTTTAATTTTCAGAAATTCTAAAAATGTTTAATCATGCATTTTCATTCATCCAACTTGCAAAATTAATTGTCTAGTCATCATCATTTACTTCAAAAGAATTAGATCTTTCTTGTTCATAAATTGTAGTAATGGTCTGGTCATGCATAAAGTTCATAATGCCTTGCATCATAATTAAGCCACACAAATCTTTCTTTCTCAAATCATTTTATTATAGAAATGTAGGCATCGTATATCATATAGTATATAGCACACACTGTCGGCACTAAAAAGTAAGAAAGGAGATTGATTGGGGGGGTCGCCCGTAAGAAGCTGTCGGCAGCCGGAATCAAAATCCCGTCGCCCGCTTCGGAAGGACGTTTTAATTTACGTATATATATATATATATAATTTTAGAAAAATATGAAATCAAACTGACCCCATATTTTTCACAGTTTAAATGAAAGAGCACTCTACCTCAAATCCTGTATCTATCCCGAGGGATAAACGTAAGACTTGAGGATAATGCTCGATCAAATAAACTAAGGAAAGTATGACGTCCGATTGGTCTGCGAAACCTTTATATTTGCTGACAAGTTCCCCTATTTAATATAAAGGATTAAATAGGGTTTATATTAAGCTGGGTTCGGACATCCTTCCTATAAGGGCAAGCCCCTATAGTTAATTACATCTTAAATGACCGAAGTCACCTAAGAAAACTCTCGATAAAAATCAGGGAATAATGTCTTCAAAGAGGTCAAAAGGATAGGACTTTACAACGAAATCGGACAAAGAGGTGTGAA